ATGCCAGAATTCTGACCTTTGCAAATTTGAACACCTGAGGGTATGGTCTTCGGTGATAGTGCACCACTTAGCTTAGTTTTGCTGACGAGTTTGCAGTGAAAATATATTTGCGAATGGAACAAATGCGATAACATGTACAAGTGAGCGTGATAGTTTGCCAGACAAGTCAAGGTATAGCGGTAAAAACACTAGGACCGAACAGTCTAATAGACGTAGCACACTCATCAGAGGTTAAAAGGCTCCCCTCGTTGTCCAGCAAAAACAAAGATTCGAAAGTGTAAGAGTGGGGTACTTACAGGGTCGCAAACAATCTTCCGGTTACACGTGCTCGAAGGCAGCTTGGACAGACCCGGTTGGTTGGAAACGGAAGATGAGTTTGCCACTGATGCTACAGTTTCGGGAAGTGTAGGTGGAGCGTTCTTTGAAGCCAGGAGCTCTCTTAGAATATAGTCATAAGAAAGACAAGGGCAAACCGTATGAGTTCCTCATCAGCCTTTTCTTCTGCTTCTTTTTCAGCCTCCCTTTCCATCCAGATATTTCTCAGGAGCATCTCATCAGTTTCTAGTGTAGCTTGTCTTTTGTTTAGTTCCCTTAAATCGTCTAGAGCTTCTGCCGTTTCCATCTCATTTTTGCTTTGGTTTGTTCGTTTTTCTAACAATTTCATTGGGTTATTCTGAAGCTCCTCCTCCTCAAGCGCAGCTTTTTTTGCTTCCAGTTCTTCAGCCGTTTTCAAGGCTTCAAAATTTCTTTTAGCTCCACTCTCAATAACGTAATCATTGGACTCCAAGTCAGTCTACGGCCGTTATTATGATTTAAAGAGGCAAATTACCCTCCAAATAATCTCTGCACAACATGTGGGGCATCGTATGTAAAATCGATAGTGTCTTAAGCCCAAATAATCCACTCCTTCCGCAACTTCCATCCGCGAGTTGAACTTTTTGGCTTTGTAAACGTAACCGTTACAAGTAGTACAACGCATATTAAATGGTGCCATGGTACGAATGTTAAACTGCCGTCCTTTATTGCCCCTTTTAAGTCTTGGTATTTTTGAAGGGTCATAATCTGGAGGAAAGTATTTCTAGTGGAGTTTTACAAAAAAACTGGAACATACATTAAGAACCTTGCGTTCGGTCATTTTGAATAAGGCGGTCTTTTACTGGGATGTATAAAACGTTTCGGAATCCCAGTCTTTGTCATACGTTTTGTTAGGATGTATTATTCTCTCAAGAATCCAGATTCACTCTTCTTGCTTTTAAATAAATTCGTTTTCTACAAGAATTAACACCCTAAATAATCCTGAGTAGACAGTCTAGGTTCAATATGAATCCAAGTCTTATTACAGCCACGATCAATAGTAGTGCATAAAGCTACTTCATATCTCATAAGTGTGGTTATCAGTATAACTTTAACGAAGGCCCACGTATAGACATGTATAAAAAGAAAGTTCTACGAAAATCGAGTTCTACTCGTGCATTTTCAAGCAGGTAGCACCGGCCCGTCCTCGAGTGAAATGAAACATGTTGAGTGGGATGGTCACACTAGAGAGTTTGGGGGAGGAGTTATTATGAGATGGCTAACGTGTCGGCTGCGTGGCATTAGCGACTAATTAATCGCCCTAGGTGTGCTTCTTCAGGGACCCACACTCGCGCCGCCCAAATGACGAGCGCTGTTGATGCAAAAGCAAATTCTACAATGACATGCATGCCATTTTCGCAACTGTGCCAAACGCGTAGAAACTTGTTTATGTTTGTGAATT